TGGAGTTGGTCGGTAGATCTCAGGTCTCGGGTTATTAAAAGGTCCAAAGGGTCAAAGCTACTCTGATAAACCAGTAGAACCATTGAGAGCTTCATGGAATAAACAATGAAACAATGAAATTATGTTTTTGTCGCTGGGGAAAATGAGAAACAGTCTGCTGATGCCTGTTTCGTTACTGAAACGTGTTGTTTCTGAAGCAGCTGGATAGAAAAACATATTCACATAATTTACACCAGTAGACAGATATAACTTTCTATGAGAAAATGTTCCTGCTCAATTATGACGCAGAGGCGTCTTCAGTTCTCTACCCAGTGACATCAGCGGTCTGGTTAACGACCCCGCGGAGGTTAAACAGGAGGGACTCCCCTCCACTCGGAACTGAAGAAGCCTCTTGGATGAGCTGAGACGTCCTCAAGTTGCATTTGGTTCAACTCTCCTCCGATGACATGAATGATAGAATGTTTTCTGGCAGCAGCGGTCAGCGGGAGAGTCTGCGGAGTGATAGGATTTCATAACCGAGACTCGGCTGAGATGTCAACTTTATGTCTGTGTGATAAAAAAAAAAAAAAAAAAGGAACGAAAAGTCGCATCTTCAATTTCACACCTGTTTTTATTGTTGCACCTTGTCTTGTTTCTGTGACGTGTCCTGTTACTTACCAACCTACATGATAGCTTCAGAAAGTGAAGCCAGAACATCTCGATTGCCCCCTGGTGGCTGGTTCCTCATCGTTTGTCAAAGAGGGTCTCTGATGGTTTCTGAGGCGAACCGTTCTCAGTGGCAGGTCGATGCTGGCCGACACAGGGACAGGCCTCGACACAGGGACAGGCCTCGACACAGGGACAGGCCTCGACACAGGGACAGGCCTCGACACAGCTGAGGACACAGCTGAGGGAAACCCTGACAGAAACGTGTAAAACCACGTTCTGCCTTCACTCGTCTTCCTTTCACCAAGTTTCATGGAAAACTGTGAAGTCGGGGGTGAAAACATAACTTCTCCTCAGAGGTGATAAACACAGAGGCAGGTAAAGAAGAAGAAATTGTTCAGAAGTAGTTTGGAAATTCAAATGGACGACACATTTGTTTGTGTGTGATGAGCAGATAAAGTTTTTCCCCCGTGATCTGATCCCGGGAACTTTTCCTTTAAGTGACGGCGACCTGGGAATCCTCCTTCTGCGAAACACACAGACGAAGCCAAAGACAGATGGAGGACAGCGATTCAGACAGAGGAATGAGACGAGGAGAGTGAATGATGAGAGGAGGACGAGCAGACGTCTGAGGACCACCGTGTCTGCCCACCATGTCGTCTTCCCCTCTTTTCCTCATCTGTCTGTCTCCCTCCTCCTCTCCCCACCGCTTTATTACGATTCCTCCTCTCCTCTCTTCATGTTTTTCTCTACCTTCTTCTGCTGTTATTTCTCACCCCTCCCGCTCTTCCTCTCCCTGTGTTTCTTTCTCTCTCTTCTCCTCTCTCTGTTTCTTCAGCTGTCTCTCTGCAGCTTTGCACTTGTTCTCTCTGTTATTCTCTTGTCTCTTCTCACTTGATCTCTCACTTCATTCTCCTCATGGATATTTAATCAGATTAAAACGGGACACATCATTTTACACAGATTTAACAGTCAATTATCTGAGGGCATTTTAATTTGACCATAACTATGGTTCCTGGTTGGATAAAGAATCCAGGTCCTGTAGCTTAGTTGCAAATTACACATTTATTCATCACAACATCGTCGTCTTCAAACAAAAGAAGCAGAAACACATCGACCAACATGCATCAGCCAGAATGTCTGGAGCTGAAACACAGACAGAAAGTATCGCAGTAGTTTGGGTGGAGAAATGTGAATTCTGCTGCTGTAGCTCTGGAACGTCTGAGACACATGGAGCTTCTCTTTCCTCTTCATCACTTCTTCTCCAGAGTCCTGCTGCTTCATCGTTTGTGGATCCAGGATCACAGGGTTGATCCTGGTCCTGGTGGTGGATCACAGACTGTGATCATGGACCACAGATCCTGATGGTGTCAGCTGATCCTGGACCGTGATCACAACCAGACGTGTGGACACACAACATGTCTCCTCATCTTCATCAGTAACTCCTCAGTTCATGTGTCTGCTCCTTCGTCTCTATCAGACATGTCCTCATGTACAAATACTTCAAACATGAAGTTTCTTCTACTGCAGTAAATCTGTTGTTGTGTTGATGTCTTCAGTTCATCAGCATCTATTGTCCTCGTGTCCTGGAGACGGATCCTCACATGTGACTCTGAGCTTCAGTTACTGCTCAGAAAGTGTCTCTGTAGTTTGACTCTWGTTGAGTKRAGGACAGAGGACGTTGSTGCTTGTTGACATCGATGAGACAARCTGGATATGAGACAAACTGARTRTGAGACAAATCAAATGTGATTGATTGAATGTGTTTGTCCAAATGTGTTTAATGAGAGTACTGTTTATTTATAAATGTATAAATAATATATTATATATATTTATATATATTGTTATTGTTTGTATACTATGATTTCCTGCCCTGTGATACTTCAACATTTCCCATCTGGCAGCACTGATCCGTCCCTCCCTCTCCTCTCCGTCTGCTGCCTACATTAGCCACCGCTCTGCTCCATTTCCAGATTTGTACGCTGATAGACAGAGTTCAGAGAGGCTGCAGGAGAAGAAACCCTGCCCACCAACAACAGCAGCAGTCCTGCCACCCTCCACACGGTAACACACAAAGTGAAAGAAAATGTGGTGCTCACAACACTCCCCCGGGTGTGTCTCTGTGTGTGTGTGTGTGTGTGTGTGTGTGCACATTAGCAGCGTGCCACACGAAGTCTGGAGTCATTAGGTGGTTTCACGCAGACAAAAGAGCAATTAAAGGAGTTATAAAACACAACCGCAAGAGAAAAAACATGGAAAGAGGAGAAGTTGCACATTTTAGACTTTTTCTAAAACGTGTGAAACAAAACAAACCTGAAAACAGAAAAATGAGAAAATTAAAGAACCTGAAGTTTAAACTGAGTCATTAGTTTTTTTTTTTTCTCTGAAGGAAACAAACACCAGAAACTAATTATATTAATAAAAAACACCAGCACGCATGTAAGATCTCACACACACACACACACACACACACACATGACCCCAGGTTCAGGTATAAACACATCAGGGAAATTCTCTCATGTTGTTTTCAGAACTACGCTGAACTCCGCACATTCTCCTGACGTTTTCCGGGTTTGGAACATGTGTGTGTGTGAGCATGTCAGAGTTTATCCTGGTTAAATATCTGGAAAATGTCCGAGTGAGTCGAACAGGAAGATTTCTGGAGAATTCACAGTGAGATAGTTTAAACCAGAGTTCAAGTCTGGAAACGGCTTCTCTCTGTTTCACAGACCTGTGTCCCTGCACTGTCCGTCCCTTAGAATGACATCATGGCTTCTATACCTCGACAACTTCTTTCTAAGTATTTGTGCTCGTTGCATCAGTGACGTGAATTATCAGAGGAGGAGGAGTCACTGGAATTTAAGTTGGAACAAAGAACCACACGAACTTAAAGGTGAAACAACACTCTTCACTTTAAGTTCACATTTGTCCGAGTGACTCTTCAGCCGAGACCCAAGCTCCGCCCCCTAATTATTTGTGAAAAGGGTCCAGGGGTCAGAGGTCACCACTATTTATTACTGAATCAAAAGGAAGCCCAGTGTTTTTTCAGATGCGTCCAGGAAGTCCGCTCTGGATTCCCACACTAACCCGCCGAGTTTACACTGAGGGGTCCTGAGGTGAAAGTCACCCCGGGCCACGAACTCTCCTGGACGAGAAGAACGCAGGGTCCTCGACAGAAAAAGAAATCAAGACGTTAAAGTAGTGACGCTAGAATCTGCAAACAGATTCCACTTTATGTTAAAATGTCCAGATAGACCTGATGAGTGGTGATGGATGGGAAAACATACATTACTGTAAATTGCGTCCATGCTTTCTCCCACTCTCACATGTTTCACACGGGCATCGACCCTTTGACCTCCTGACCACCAGGGTGAGCCGGGGGTCGGGGTCGGGCCATGTGAGGTCGTCGGACTCCCCCTGACAATAAGTGCGGTAATCAGATTACCTCAAATGATGCCTCAGCCACAGGTGGGCCAGACACATGCACATTCTTCTCACAGAAAGTGACAAACCCCCCCTGCTGGAGACCAAAGGTCAGTGAGAGTGACCCTCGGAGCGTTCAGCTCCAGGAGCGTGAACGTCCTCACAATCTGACCGATGACGGATCATCAGAAAACAAGAATTACAGCGAGCTCGAACAGGTCACGTCTGCAGAGGAGCGCGGTCCAGCCGCCGCAGCTCGTCCGGAACAGTCCGGCCTGCGAGTTTGTTGTCGGCCTCGTCCCCGGCTGCTCGGGTTACCGAGGCACTCTGGGAATCTGAGGCGTGGGGTGAGACCCCTCTGCAATACTGCACCCTTTGTGTCGCTGCCTCGAGCCCCTGAGCAGGTGTAACAGCTGAGAGCAGAGCGGAGGAGGGCAACTGCTGCCGCACCACCGTCGTGGGATCAACTCATTCAGGCACATTCACGAGAGTCAAATATGGCTTCACGGGGACGAGGCAGATAACTGAGCCTTATATGGGACATTCCCTGATTTTACCACCTACAGTTTATTACTGTCGAACTGACGACATGACATCTTTACTGTTTATATTCTTTTAAGTTATTAATTGTGTTTTCTACTTTGGATGGTTAGAACATCATGGCGGCTGATTAACGTCTCTGCTCAGAACATGAATGGGATTCTGGGATTGATTAAACGTACGTTTGAAGAAGACGTTTGTGTAGAGAACCAAATATGTTGTGAGCCACTGAACAAATAGTTCAGAAAGGATTTGACTCGTTGCTCCGTGTGTGAATTGCTTTGAGGATAATAATCATGTAGACAGCCCTGCCCTTCCCCCGGAGCCCCTCCCATGGTCAAACAGCTGACGAGCGATGACACTGCACGTCCAAGCCCCTGAGGACAGCCTGGAGGGACATTTAAAGTTTAAAGGGCCCCACTGGACAGCTGGGTGTGTCCGTGCAGCGTGGGAGTGTGCACGAGTGCATGTGTGCTGTTTAATGAGTCCTGCAGCTCGGAGTGTCTCACACCGTGAGGACTGAGGGACCTGAGGACATTCACCATCTCTTATCAAATCACTGCGTCTTCACAGCTCAAACTTCTTCTCCTTCGTCAGATCTGAATCCTCAGGACGTTTTCTCCTCCAGCAGATTTCCGCGTTGTGTTTGTCGTTCCTCCACCATGGGAGCGTTCATCGCCAAGATGCTGCTGCCCACCGTCAGCAGCACGGTGTTCCTCCCTGCAGCCAGCGTCGCCGCCAAGAGGGGCTTCCACATGGAGGCCATGGTCTACTTCTTCACCATGTTCTTCACGGCGGTGAGAAAAAACGCTCCTGATCAGATGTGACGACTGAAAACTGATCATCTGATGTTTTCATGTTTGTTCTTGAAGCTGTTTAACAGAATCGAATCGATAAAGAAGCTTTAAAGTTGTGACTTAAAATCACTGATTAAATAACCTCCGTTCTTAGAGCTGGTGGAAACTCAGACCATTCAACAATCATTTTCTCTGTAGTTTGTAAATGAATATTCCTTTAAGATAAAGAACAGGAGAAGAAATGCGATAAAGAAAATATCTATATAACGTTAACGCTCCCAAACATTTCATCAACTTACAACTAAAATGTTCACATGAATTATTTACGTGGATAAAGTGGCTGTTCACAGAATCCTCCATATTTACTTGACTATGCAAATACAACTTTTAGGTTGTATATAAACGTGTTGATGAAATGTTTTATTTAACACCACTTCTCTGATCGTTCAGGGTTTTAACTCCATATCATGGTCTGCGTGTTTGTCTTGAACATGTGTGTGTTCCTGCAGATCTATCACGCGTGTGATGGACCAGGTCTCTCCATCCTGTGCTTCATGAGATACGACGTCCTGGAATACTTCAGTGTTTACGCCACGGCCCTCTCCATGTGGGTCACGCTGATAGGTACAGAGACTTTACTGTTCAGCACGACGCAGCACGATGAACGTCTCGTGTGTGTGTGTGTGTGTGTGTGTGTGTGTGTGTGTGTGAAGTTGCAGGAGAAGAAAATAAAGATTATTAATCAGAATTCGACAACTGCACGTCTCGAGGTTAAAAACAACCAGCTCCGCCTGCAGCAGTTGTCGACAACATGTGTTGTGTCACTGAGTCACTGCTCAT